CCACAATGCCCCGCGCCGCTCGCTTCCGGGAGGCAGGGGGAGGGGGCTCACCTGGTCCCGCCCCCGCCACGCGTCACCGCGGACGCCGTGCAGGATCTCGGACACGTTCTGCACGGTTGCCCCCGCGATCGGCATCGGACCGGCGCAGCAGCCCGCGCGCTCGCCCTGCGCCCCAGCGACTCCGGACTCAGCCCCTACTCCAGCCCACCCCGTCGCCGTCCCCTGGTCACACGCCCCTGCTCGGGGAGCCTGCCACTCCCGGAGCGTCCACGGTCCCGTCGCAGCCCTCACCGCACCGCGCAGCTCCCTCCCGGTCTCCTCGCCCTCCTCTCGTGCCTACCCACGCAGCGCCGGGCTCTGGTCGCTGGTCACAGCTCTGCCTTGTGCTGGAGGCCTCCCGGACCAGACCTGGACAGAGGCACCCCGGAGCTGTGACCGCCCCTTTGGACCAGCGCCGGCCCCCTGACTTCTGTGCAGCCTGACGCCCGCCGTCCTGAGCAAGAAGTTCGTGTACTTTTTCTTTTAGGTTCATTTAGAGCCATGCCTTCCCTAGCCAGCCGCAAACTCAAGCCAGGAACATTGGTCACTGCGCCAGGCAGGACAGAAGTCCCCCTGCCCCCACGCAGCTGCCTCTGTGGGTCACCCTGACCCATATTTGGTCGGGTGTTTGCCTCGGAATTCTATCGGCTCCCGGAGGTGTGTAACACATCAGATCATGTGGGACTCCAGCCAGACACGGGGGGCTCGGCTTCTGGAGGGAGGCAGGTTAAGTCAGTGAGGGGTCTGCCCACTGCTACCTAGGCGGGCCTGCCAGCGTCCAGCTCTGGGGCCCCCCTCCTCCGGAGGAGAACTTTGAGAGAGGCTCCTCCTGGGGGGTCAACGGTGCCCAGTCTTCCGCAGGGGCTCCTCCCAGGCTTCACAAGGTGGAAGGTGGGCTCATCCAGGCTTCTGGCTCCTGCCCAGGCCCCTCCGGCTCTGCCAGGACACAGTGGCCAAGGGACAGCGTTTGGGAGTGGCCTTGAGCTGTGCTGAGGAGTGGGTGGAGAAGCAAGGAGCTGATTCCTCGATTGCAAAATGCCCAATGGTGAGGGGGAGGGGGGACAGGAGCCCAGGTGACCTCTGCTGAGTGAGATCAGGGAGGAGGGAGGGCCTTAGAGACTGAGAGACAGAGATGGGGGTGGGGGAAGGGCCAGGC